TTTCATGTGAAAACGACCCACAATGTCTCACAATATTTTATTTCATTTCATTTCATATCCTGCCGTTCTCCCTTATGGGGCCATCTATCACCTTCCAGATGTTTTTGGAGTGCAGTCTTTATAATCCTTCCCCACTAGCTAGCAGGTGCTGGAAGCGACTCTTGAGAGTCCCCTGGATTGCAAGGAGAACAAACTTATCTATTCTGAAGGAAATCAACCCTGAGTGCTCCCTGGAAGGACAGATCCTGAAGCTGAGGCTCCAATACTTTGGCCATCTCATGAGAAGAGAAGACTCCCTGGAAAAGCCCCTGATGTTGGGAAAGTGTGAGAGGAAGAGGAGAAGGGGGCAACAGAGGACAAGATGGTTGGACAGTGTCACCAAAGCAACCAACATGAATTTGACCCAACTCCAGGAGGCAGTGGAGGACAGGAGGGCCTGGCGTGCTCTGGTCCATGGGGTCACAAAGAGTCGGACATGACTTAACGACTAAACAACAAAAGCTAGCAGGGATGGGGACTTGAGGCATGCAGACTTAAGTTGGACTTTAGTCGCACTGGTGACTTGACTTGGGTGTTTTTTTCAATTACTTGAACGTGACAAACACTCATTTTTCAAAGTCAAGTTTTCAGGTCCTTGTTATTAAACCCGGAAGAAGCTTTACGACGACGCTCATCAGAGGACGCAGGAGAGAGAGGCAGGCAACTGGCATCAAATAGCAGAAGAAGAGGTAGTGAAGGGAAGGGAGGGTTTCCAAGAAGGTAGGGAGGGGTGAGGCAGGCAGGGCAGATGGAAGCAAAAGTGGATCGCTCACAAACCTCAGACCTCACACACATCCCATACAGAACTTAGTTACACCTCCCTTTTTTTTCTAGGGGAAAAAAAGCTTACTTTTAATAGGGACTTGGACTTAGGGCTTGGTACCAAAAACTTGGACGTGGACCCAAAGACTTGGCAGCATCCCAGCTAGCTAGCCTGGTAGGACGTGTAAGCCAAAATCGTCTGGCACCACCACTACCTGCCTCTCTGTTACAGAAGACCAATTAAATAAGAATTAAGAAATTAATGCTAAAAGAACAAAGCATCGATCACGAACCAGCAGAACTTAAGGGTGAGAGAACAGAGAAAGAAACTGAACATGGTTTGAATGCCTAATAAAAATGCTTTAAATAATTTTTTTAAAAATATGGCTGATCCTTTTTCCAGTCTTCCTCAAGCTGGTCATTTCTCACAACCCAAACTTTTAAGAACCTTTGATCCCAAATATTGGGATATGCCCCCTTGGGTGGCGGGGGGGGGGATGATGAAGAAATTCTAAGGTGGCAAAAAGCCACAAAATTTTCAAAACAAAACTATTTTTTAAAATCAGCATAACCTTTTTTTTAAATGTTCAAATTTTATAGCAGTAAAATTAATTTAAAATAATTTTACTAGATTTGGGGTTTTAATTTTTATTTTAAATTACAACGTTTTTAAGGGGAGCGGATGTTGGTGAAGAAGAGATGAAGAGGCTTTAGGAGTTCTCAGGAAACAAACAGGACGTATGGTGCTGAAAAGTTTGAGAACCATTGCTTTAGCACAGTTCTAGTCTTTCAATGTAAAGGGTGTTTCACTGCAAGTATATACACTCACATTCGGAAGACACACACACATATACACACACTCACGCTTATAGGAACCTTGATTCAGTTCCACTTGGCTTCTCTTGGTCTCCATCACCTCACTATGCTTTTTCTACTCTTTTTTTTTTTGCCCCTTTAATCCTGACACATTAAACATATTTCTCTTTGTTCTGGTCTGCCTCTCATCAGCTGCCTTACCAGCCAATCAGCAATGGGAACATACACACAGATATTCCAAAACTAATAACATTTGCTTTTCCCTGAAATCATGACATGCTCTTATACCCCCTGCCTTGAGATCGTAATGCTGTATCTGGGGTCCTTCCTTCCTGCTTATTCTCTGAGTGGGGTCCTGGAATTCTGCCCTAAAGTCCTGTCTTGACAGTACCATTTTCATCCAGCTACGCACAAAGAAAACATTATAATAGAAAGCTTACACAGTCATGGACTTACGTCTAAGAAGCAATGCTGCATTTTCCATTCCTCTCCTGCTGCCTGCTTGGCATTGTTTAGTTACTGCTTTGATCCCCTGGGGTTTTTATTATTGTTACTCACTGGAAGGTCCAGTTCGGCTTTAGTGAAAAAAAAAAACATCTGAAGGATGATCCATTTATGTATTTCTTACTTATATACAAAGTGCATTTTGAATGGCAGTGGCAGACTGAAATATTTATCAGATAATTTTACTTCTTGTTGTAACCTCTAAAGAGAGTTTAGAAGTAGTTAGTTACAAGTAATATATTTACTTTAGCAGGTTATTTCTGGGGCAAAGAGTAATGAAATGAGTATTTATGACGTTACTTGTTAAGTATCTTTTTGCATTCTTTCCTAATAATACCTCCATTGAAGATTGAAGGACACCAAGCAGGGGAAAGCTGCTATAACTCTGTTGTTATCCTCGGGTACAGCTGCTGTACTGTAACTCTGAAATGGTGCCCTTAAGTGTAAGGTCATTTTTCTTACACATTAAGAAAGATAAGTATCCCCGTCACTAACATGTTTTCATTCCAGACACAGAACTCCTTCAACACTTTTTGTCTGAAATAATCACAACAATTTTGTAAGGAAAAAAAAAGGTGAGAAAGCTTCATGCTAAGATAAATAGACGTCTTTTATGGTATTATATGGTATTATAACTATTTATGGTATTATAACTATTTCCACTTGCCTCGCCCCTAAATTCCCATTACTTTTGCTTCCTTCTCTGAATGCTTCCTACTGTAAGTCCCACCAGTTCCCTGATCATCTATGTTGATGGGCTGTCGCCTGCTTCTGGTCTGCTTGTTTAATGCTGAGCTTTGAACTTCCTGAAATATTCTTCAACCTCATATTCTCCTTGATTGGCCCATCCTTTATATCAGAGTGGACAAAGTACAGCGCGTGGCCTAGACAGGAATCCCCAGGCATAAATGGGGCATCAGACGCAAGAAAGACCCAAAAGGTTTCCAAAAACTAATGACATTTTTTATTACTCTTGCTCAAAAAGCTCTCTTGCGCCATGTTTTGTGGGCTCAAACCAAACCCAGGCACCATTTCACTCCTCTACCCTTCCCCAAATTTGTCCAGTTTTTGAAAATACATTTTACCATTTTTTTAAAAGCCACATTTTGGGTTTAAAGGCCTCTTTTTTAAAAAATTGAGGGTAGGCCCTGCAGGTTCCAGGGGTAAGCATGTGTGGTCCAAGGACCCATGAAAGTTGCCAATCCCTGCTCTATCTGAAGTAAGCTCTTGCTCTACTTTTTAATAGAAGCCACCACCTGCAGTTATGAAGTAGTATTGTACAGATGTAGATTTACTCCTCCAGGAAGAGTTGGAGTCCAAAAGGCTAGGGCTTCATAGTGGTCAGACTAGGACTCAGGAAACTTGGGTTCAAATCCTTAGTGACCATGAAACTTACAGAGTGACTTTAGATCAGTCACACACTCTCAATCTGACCAACATTCACAGTGAAGATAAAGTGGGGAAGAAGGAGGACCATATACAGTGCCTTGAGCTCTTTGGAGGAAAGTCAGAAATGAAATATAACAAACAAACAAATGCTAATTAAATACTCCTTACTACATAAACAAGAAGCTTTCAAGAATGTTCTCCTTGATATGATCTGTTGCAAGATAGCAGTGTTCTCCCTACCTCTATCTCAACAAAAATGTTCATATTTTTGCAAGAACTGTTTTAATGGATTTATGTAAAACACAGAATGCGGAAGTGCATTAACTTTGGCCTTGTTACATGAAATAGTAAAAGCAGTACCACCAGATGGGTTGTTTGTGGTTTATGATTGTTCAGGCTATCTTGTGTGGATGTATGCTCAGGAACAAGACACTAGCTTTTTGCAAATACAGGAAACAAATTATATTTGATATTTCAGTTTTGCACCAGAGATGAGATCTCTTGTGGGGGTTGGAGAATCCCTGAGGAGCTATCTTGCTATAACCTCTATGGACACCAGTGTGTTTTACATGGCCATTCAAAGATAGCTGCTCTCACCCTTAACTAGCTATAAGGAACATGGTTACCTCTAACTAGCCACATTTTTGTAATAAATCAGGTAATTGGTAATTACAAAATTACTTTTCACATCAATAAGTAATACCTAAGTTACTTTAGTGTAATATATTTAGACAAAAACATAATGTACTAGCACTTTAAAGACTAAATGTACTAGCACTTTAAAGACTAAATGCTATATTCCAGTGTAAGGTTTTGTGAATAAATCTACTTTGTCATACATACTGTAGTGAAGAGAAGCCACAGGTGTATACTGGGTAGACAGGAGGAGGGCAACAGCATTATTGACATAAGTAATTAACTGAAATAATTTTGACAGCACACAGCCTGGTTTCAGTGGATAGTTTCACACGTGTTGTGAGGTACACAGGCAGCAAGAGTTTCCTTCTAGGTTCAACTGTTGAAGCAACAGTTGATTGATTCCTAGGTTAATGACTTATCAAGTGAAGGGTTTGTTCCTTGCACAGGATCCTAGATTGTTTTTAATAAACATAATGAGCTACGAATCCCTGGTTGATATGGAATTCTTTTGACACACACTGGAACTTATGTATGTATTTTATTTTAGCTGTCGCTCCGGTTTTGCTTTGTAATTTCGTTTTCCTGTCCTGGAACCGCATCCCTACATCCCAAACATTGTTTCACCACCAGATCCATCAGGCAGTGTTTCAGAATCCCATAAAGACAGACCTGGGCAAAATGTGGCCCTCCAGATGTTGCTGAACTACAACTCCCAGCAATCCTCACTTTTGGCTGTGTGGGCTAGGATTTCTGGGAGTTGCAGTTCAGCAACGTCTGGAGGGCCGCATTTTGCCCAGGTCTGCATAAAGACAACCCCTTATTGCTGAACGCATGGCTTTGCTTTTTTTTTTTCCAGAGGATGGCCACTGGCTTGTGTGTTGGCTCCTGAAAAAAAATAAAAAATCAAAGAGGACTTTTTAGAACATAGAGTCATTCTATATAGTATAGCAAACCTCTACCAACACCCAAACCCCAAAAGGGACACCTACTGGCTCCACAGAAGGTTCCTCGGTATCAAACAAGACTTCCATATTATGCCAGACACTGTCAGGGTCTTCAAGACATTGTAAGTCTACGGGTGCATATCCTCACTCTCAGACTCTGTACTCATGTAACTCTTTCTGGGGTTGGGTCTCCCCGCATCATTTTGTCTCATTTCAGGCATTTGGTTTTCCTTGTCCGCCATCATCTCCAAAGCAGATCGAATCCACGCGACGGAGTGAGCTCCCGTTGCTTGTCCCAGCTCCTGCCAACCTAGCAGTTCGAAAGCATGTAAATGTGAGTAGATAAATAGGTATCACCATGGTGGGAATGTAACGGCATTCCGTGTCTAGTCATGCTGGCCACGTGACCACGGAAACTATTTACGGACAAATGCTGGCTCTGTGGCTTGGAGACGGGGATGAGCACTGCGCCTTAGAGTCAGACACAACTGGACTAAATGTCGAGGGGAACCTTTATCTTAAAACAATAAAAAAAAAACCAGGATGGAAGATAATTTTAAAAGATATTTTTCAATATTTTTGAAAAAACTGTTGTGTAAGATACCTGATTTTCAAAGCAAATTCATAGCAGATTTTTATTGAAATGACTCAGGTAGGAAGCTTTCAGTCTAATATCAATCGATCGAGCACAGAAGGTAGTTTTTAAAGCCATTTCCTCAAGCTTTCTGGAAAATCTTTCGAACATTTCTTTAAAAGATGCTGATTTCTTTAAGAGAAGAGAAGTTGGCATTCCCATTTGGCACAAAATGGCACTGATCACCAAAGGAATAGGAATAAATCTCCATCTGCGTGGATGCAATGCCAGCATATCTGGAAGACACCAGGTGGAGGAATGCGGCCATATACAGTTATAATATAATGTCCCAAAAATAATGTATGTCATGTGCAATTGTAATGCAACGCACCGAGACAAGGTAGGTAAAGAATTATATGGATTCTAGATGCCAGTATTGAAACAGCTCAGGAATTTCACAATGGTCTTTCTGAGAAGTAAAGAGAGGAAACCTGGTTATAACCATCTTCTTTTTCTAACTTTAATTTCCTCCCCAAGACAGAAGAATAATATTCTGGGTTCCAATTTTTTCCCCCTTACAAATGAAAATAATCATAGCCATGAAAAAAAAACTTTTGAAAACAATTCTATAAATATTCTCCTAAACAGAAAAGGGGATTCTGATGCAATAGTTTATTCTGGTAAGAAGAAGAAGAAGAAGATTATTGTTTGTTAAGGTTTGGAGGCAGAGAGGAAATGGTTAAAGCCAAGAAGAACCGGTGCCAGCAATGGAAAATGCCTGCTGTAAGAATTTTTGCCAGTCCCTGTCTCTGGCATTTTAATTTTGAAGTGGATCAAGTCCAAGAAGAAGAAAAAAGAAATATGAAGAGGGGATG